GATCCCTCCGGCTGCAGCGTGACCTTCGGCGCCGCCGGCGCCGGGCTCTTCGACGGCGGCGCCGCGGGCGCCGCCGCGGGGGGGAAGCCGCCGCGGCAACGCTCGGACAGCCGCAGGGTCCACTTCACGACGGACGCCTCCGAGGGCGCGGAGCAGGCGGGGTCCCTGTCGCTCGGGATCCTTGAGACGGGGGTCAATGCAGACGGGGGTCAGCCAGGGCGCCGGATCCCCTCTGGCTGACCCGGGTTAGCGAGCCGCTCGTGGCAGCGAGGCGGCCGCGCCTATTGGCTGACCCGGGTTTGCGAAGACCTGCGTTGCAGTTGTTTTTCCCTGCAATGCAGTTTTTGGTTTCCTGCTGACCCGGGTCTGGATTGACCCGGGTCAGAAGATCCCCGAGTAGCAAAGAGTGTGGGGGCCCTGCATACCCTCGTGCTTCTTTTCAGCGTGCACAAGCATCGACTGGCGCCCTGGTAGTCCATGAGGCAGCGCCACTGTGGTGTCGACTAGCGTCGATGTGGCGTCCATTAGCGTCGAGTTAGCGTCGATCAGCGTCGAGTCGCAAGAGCCAACAAGATGGCACGGGATGCTCCCGTGAGTCGCCACAGGAGGTGGAGACGGCAGCTTCTGCTGGTCTGTCGCCAGCTTCCGCCGGCGGAGGTGGCCTCGTCTTACTTCCGCCAACCTTCCGCCGCCTTCCGTCGAGGAAGAGATGCCACTTCCTCGCTCCTCTCCTCGAGGTGGAGCAAGAGGCAGGAAGGATGAGAGGGAGGAGGAGGAGGAGGAGGAGGAGGAGGAGGAGGAGGAGGAGGAGGAGGAGGAGGAGAGGAGGAGAAGAGGGAGGGAGAGGGAGGAGGGAGGAGGAGGAGGAGGGAGGAGGAGGAGGAGGAGGAGGAGGAGGAGGAGGAGGAGGAGGAGAAGGGATCAGTGTGCACCCAAGACCCATTAACGATGTTTGAATGCACCCACTCTCCGAGCTCCTTCTTCAGATGTCCCAGCAACTATTCATTTTCACTGCGGGAATTGCCCCGATGGAAGACATCCGGCTGACGATCTGCAGCATAGCACCATTCTTGGGACCCCGTGCCAGAACACCAATACTCTCGCGTCCTGACAATCCCACATCGTGCCACATTGCCGCTTCTGGGACGCGAGCTGTGAGCTGTGAAAACGAATGCGCGCGGCGCGAAGGCGAGAGCCACATTTTGACAAGGAGCCGCCCTCCATCCGTGAGGCTCTTGCAAGCGTTCAAAGAGAATGTGCGCGGCTCCAGGCGATAGCCACACTTTGAACGACCTCCCGCGTGAAACTTTTCTGTGAATTGCTCAAGCGAATGTTCGCGGCGCTCAGGCGAGAGCCACCCTTTGAATCCGACCCGCCCTCCATCCGTGAATGCTGTTGCCCATTCTCAGCCTCAGGATCATACATGGGGAGGACTTCGCAGGCGAAACGCCCAGTGCGCCCTCCCGACCAGCTTCGGGGTGCGACAGGGAGGAGTTATCTATAAGGAAGGGGGATGCATGGGGAGCGGGAGGGGGAGGTGAAGGGGGAGGGGGAGGAGGAGAGGGAGAGGAGGAGGAGGAAGAGGAGGAGGAGGAGGAGGTGGAGGAGGAGGAGGAGGAGGAGGAGCAGGAGGAGGAGGAGCAGGAGGAGAAGAAGGAAGAGGAGGAGCAGCAGCAGGAGGAGGAGGAGGAGGAGGAGGAGGAGGAGGAGGAGCAGGAGCAGGAGGAACAGGAAAAGAAGCATTCCTGGAATGCCTCAGGTGGAGATCGTGTTCCCCCCCGAGCACTCCGCGGCGGACGGCCCCTCCAGAGGCCAGGGCTCCCCGAGTGTGGCCTCGGTCTGGTCGTCGCTGGCCGGCGCCCTGGGCGCCTGCGGCGCGGCCAGCCCGGGGGGTTTCGCCCCTCCGGAGGCGCCGACGGAGGACAGGGTGAGCGCCGTGCACCCCGCGGAACCGCTGCGCACGCTGGCGGAGGAGTTTTGGGGGCAGCGGGGGCTGCGGGAAAAGGGGGCCTGTTGAGGGGCCTAGAGTAGAGGGGCCCTCTAGGGGCCTCAAGGGGGCCTTGGGGGAACGAGAAGAGTATCTGACTTTGATCAGCGCCGTGCACCCCGCGGAACCGCCGCGCACACTGGGGGAGGAGTTTGGGGGGCAGCGGGGGCTGCAGGAAAAGGAGGCCTCTGGGGGGCCTGGAGCAGAGGGGCCCGCTGCGCACGCTGGCGGAGGAGTTTGGCGGGCTGCAGGAGAAGGGGGCCTCTAGGGCGCCTAGAGTGGAGGGGCCCTCTAGGGGCCTCAAGGGGGCCCTTGGGGAAGGAGAAAGGTACCTGACTGGGTGAGCGCCGTGCACCCCGCGGAACCGCTGCGCACACTGGCGGAGGAGTTTGGGGGGCAGCGGGGGCTGCAGAAAGGTAGCCTTTAGGGCGCCTGGAGTATATGTGGCTCTCTAGGGGCCTCAAGGGGGCCTCTGGGGAACGAGAAGTGTATACCATTCTTCCCACCCATGTATTTCCCCCCATCCATTCGCGCCCAAATCGAACAAGAAGAACCCTCAGATCGGAGCCGCCTGGGGGTCTGAGGTGGGCAGGTTCGAGGCTTGTTGCCCTTCTCGGCATATGGGGGGCGTTTTTGGGCCACGGGACTATGAAAAACGGATCCGGCGTGAAACACCCCACCAGATGTACCCCTGCAGAGGTCTGGGGACCGATTTTGGGCGGATTTGGCTGCCCCCCCTCTCGACAGATTGTCTGGGGCTCCATCCCCTGGCCGCCTCCAAGCGGAGGAGTACGCCTTCAACGAGAGTTTCGGCAGGGGCGTGGCCGAGATGCAGAGCCGCGGCTTTGCTGGCTGCCGAAGAAGAAGACTCTGCAATTGCATAACTAATTACACGCCGGTCGTTGAAAGCAGGTATTTTGGATTCCCAGATCCCAATCTACTTCGAGCGCCGTTCTACTTCAAGAATCGGCATGACCTTTCGGTGTTTTGTTTTTCTCTGGGAGGGCCTGGACCCAATCCACTTTATCCGTCTTCCTACTTCATGTTTTCACCTAGTTCTTCCGACCGACGTCTAAGCATCTACGCAGGTTCCTTGGATCGGTGCTGGGCCCCCCTCACTGGCGCTTCGGGCGCCAGAGGCGTTCTGGATACGCCGCCAGGGGGGGCCCGGGGCCAGTTTAAGAAATACTCCCGGAGCTCCGGCAGTTTATGTCTATGCTCCGCCGAGATCTGTACCCAGATCTTCTCGGGCCGTGAACAGAAAAAGCACTGGAGTTGTTTGGCCGTGTTCGGGCACATGCGGGCCTTCACCAGGCCGGGGGCCATGAACAAAAACGACTCGGGATGAAACGCCGGTGCCTGGGAAGGGGTCCAGGACCTCTGGGGGTCCACCCTATTTCTTCGCTCCTCGATCGAGGCTGGCGCCGGGTGCGCGGCGACGGCAACTGCTTCTACCGTGCCGTCGGCTTCGGCCTGCTCGAGCAGCTCGCGGGCTCGCAGGACCCCCGGCGCGCGGCGTGGGCGGAAGCGTTCTTCGGGCTGCTGAGGGGCGTGCAGTTCAAGGACGCGGCCGACGCCCGGGAGCTCGGAGGACAAGGCATCAGTGCCGCTGCGAGACTTTTTGTATCCCCCCTCCTCCCCGGTGTAAGCCAAGCTCAAGGGCCTCGCCCCCCACCCAGCCTGGGCAACGACCAGCAACGACGCGGAAAGCCGCCCCCCCCCCCTCCCCTTCTACCTTGGCGTCGTTTTTGTTGCACTTCTGCGGCCTCATTGTAGGCCCTCGTCGCCATGGCCAGATTTGCCGCGAAGTTCTGGCCAGAACGCACCCCGGGAGAGGCCTGGGGAGTGGCTGCATCGGCACCCCGTGGCCTCCCCAGGAGCACCAGCAGCTGCTGGGCTTCGTGCGCCACCTTCAGCACGAGGATAGCAAACAGCTGCATACCCCACACGCACGCACTTCTGGAGCTCGGCACTACCCTCAAGTCGGGCCTGTCCCTCTACAGGAGGAGTATTCAAGAATAGTACAAAGATCATATGAGGACGATGTTTTGACATTTTTTGTTGTTTTGGTGTATCTTTGGGGTATCTTTGAGAGTTCATCCAAAATCCGCCTGTAGGGGGACATGCCCGACCTAACGCTGCTCTCTGGGATCGGCACTGGTCCCCCCGGACGGCCCCTCGGCCCTGGCCCTGGCGCCGCCCCTTCCGCGGGGGAGGTGCCCAGCGCCGATCCGGGGCACTCCGCGCGGAGGGCTCCGAAAGTTTATGTTTATGCCGCCTGTTTGGGCTCTCCTCGGTCAGCACGACCCTTCGCGCGGCCGGGTGTCTCTCTTCCGCGTGATCACCGACAGCCAGCGCTGCGAGGACCTGGCCCTCGTTCGCGCCATCAAGGCCCTCGTCTGCAAGCACCTCGTCGCCAACGCCCACAACGAGGACCTCAACTGCGGCATATCCTACGAGACGCTCGCCATCTGCGAGGGGTTCCTCGGAGGGGAAACCGCGGCGCAGACACAAACTCTCGGAGGTCCGCGCGGCGTTCTTGGATCGCCGCCTTGCCCTCGCTCCCTGGCGCGTGGAGCGCGCCGGGTTCGGCGCTGGATGCGCCGTCAGGGGCGCCTGTCGCCGGTCCAAGGAAAAGTCGGCGCGGGCTTCCCGACAGGTTCATGTCAGACCTGACATTGAGAAGGCAGGAACCACCCACCTTTTCAGGGGCAAGAGATGTATTGTTCCGTTTCCGCAGTTGCGGCAGCTGTGAGGCTGCGTCGTTTCAGCTGCTGTTACCTGCTGTGGTGCACGTGATGTCCAGAGGCGTGGTTCCGTCGGTCTTTGGTTGTTGAAGCATGTGCTGTATGATTATTTGCCCCAGTGTGTTTGTTTGTGATCTGTTCCTGACTCACCTTGTGTTCGGTTGCAATTCATCGGAACCTTGTACGTCCTCGCAAGTATGTTCTTGTTGTGCAGTACCGTGCGCTAGCATCTGGTGATCGATGAGAAAGCGCCGGTTTAGCGTCAACTAGCGTCGATTTAGCGTCGACCTGGCTTTGACCACCGTCGATTCGCAAGGGCCAACAAGATGCGATGGTCAAGCCGGACGAAAGAGGTACTTAGGATAGGGAAAAGGGTGTTGCGAAATCTGCTGCATGCAGCTGGTTTCGGCCCCGCCGCCGGGCCCATTCCTCGACACATGGGCGCCAGGAGGCGCCAGGAGAACCAGCTACATGAGCTGATTCCCTAGCATACCCTTTAATATTTTACCCTTTGCGCCCCCCCCCTGAATGAGAGGCTCCCATGAGTTGCCGCAGAAGTGGAGCCGCTGGCTTCCGGCGGCTGTCCGCCAGCCTCCGCCAGCGGAGGCAGTCTCGTCTTACTGCCGCCAAGCCTCCGCCGCTTCTCGTCTAGGAAGAGATGGCAAGTCTTTCGCTCCTCTCCTCGAGCGCGGAAAGCCTCAGTTGGAGGCAGGAAGGGTGAGAGGGAGGAGGAGGGAAGAGGGAGGATGAGAGAGAGGATGAGAAGGAGAATGAGAGGGAGGATGGGAGGGAGGAGGGAGGAGGAGGAGGATGACCAGCGTACACCCATGGGTTGCCGCATAATGGGAACCGCCGGCTTCTGCCGGCCCTCCGCCAGCTTCTGCCCGCGGAGATCGCCTCGCTTTTTTTCTTCCGCCGAGGAAGAGCTGGCAACTCCTTCGCTCTTCGAAGGCGAGACCATTTCTGGAATGCCCCGGGTGGAGACCTCAGCCGCGCGCAGAGGTGGGTAGGGGGGGAAAGGACGGCTCTTTAGAAGTACCCCTGCCTGCTAGATTGCGCGGGCCTTGTCTGTGCATGTAGGGCCAGCGTATGTTGAGAAGCAGCCTCCTTCCAAGACGCCTTCCCCCCCTCCCCGTAGCCCCCCTCGTGCGCGCCGCTACAAGCTGTCCCCGAGGAAAGCCTGAGGGGCACAGAACTCGTTTCCACCAGGACCCCTTTCCGTTCGGACCGTTGCGGCGCGATGTCGTTCGTCGTCGTCGCCGTTGTCGTCGTCGTCGTCGTCGTCGTCGTCGTCGTCGTCGTCGTCGTCGGGGAGTTACGTTTATGCTTGCGAGTCGTCATCGGCGGTGTCCGCCAGCTTTCGGGAGTTCCAGACGTACTCTCGATGTCTCCCAGAGTGCTTCCGAAAGAGAGGAGGGCGGAGAAGGAGGTGCGGGAGCAGCAGCAGGTGTGCGCGCCGCCGAAGATCAGGAGGGGAAAAAACACACAGACACAATTAATCGTCGATCCCCCGGAAAATATGGGAAAATATGGGAAGTGGTGGGGATGACAAAAACGCAGAAAATATGGGAAAATATCGGGAATCCTTTTATTTGTGTGTATTTATTTGTGTGTCCCCGTTTCCCTTTAGAAGAGTGTGTTCGCCCCCCCCACAGAACACTACTCTCGTGCAGTTCTCGCCCTGCCCTCCAGGTACGACGGCGTGGAGGACTACTGCCGGCGCGTGGTGACGCCCCTGGGCGAGGACGCCCGAAGCCTGGTGCCGAAGGCGATCCCGGAGGCGCTCGGCGCGGACCTCCGGGTGCGGGGGAGCGTCCAAGCCCGAGACCTGCTCGGGTCGTGGCAAAAACCGCGACGGGCGTTTCCCAGACCACCAACGGAGGGGAAACATCGAAGCGGGGGTGCCTCGTGGGTTTCTGCCTCGGGGGGGCCCTCGCCAGGCCCCGGGACCGTCGAGAAACGATCCGCGACGAAAGGCCCGTCCCAGGGAAGTGGTTCGGGGAAATCGGAGGTTTAGGTTTTCGGCTATTTTCAGCAACTTGGGGCCCTTACCGGGCCTCGGGACCGCAAACAAACAATGCAGGACCGAGACCTTTGGAGGTCGACTTTGTTCAAAAATTATGACGTCTGGGGTCTGGGGAGGGGTGGCGACTAGGGGGGGGTATCATGGCGGGGGGCATGATATCTCCCCAGATCTCATGGCCTTTCGTCTTACCCTCGCTCAGCGGTGATCAGGTTAACTTGTTAGGGCGCGTGCGCCCTCCCCCCCTCCCTCCGATCTCGCTCTCTCTCTCACTCTCTCTTTCTCTTTCTCTGTTTTTTCTGTCTCTCTCTCTCTCTCTCTCCTCTCTCTCCCCCTCTCTCTCGAGCTCTCTCCGGCTCCGAGGCGCATATCAAAGCGCTACTAAAGCCGGTCTCTCTTTATCAGTCTTGGGTGCGCAGACGGGGTGTGCCACGCCTTGATCGCCACAGCCCGCCGGTTTCTTCGGTCGGGGTCCCCTTTTTTCCGACCGCGCAATATTCGGGGGTGGACAGAACCCCCAACAGTGACACGTCGATCAGTGAATTGTCCGTTTTCGGCTCTCGAGAGGGCGCCGTGGCCGTCATTTTCCAGGCTCGCGCCCGCCAGGTTTGGGCCTCAGGTCGTTTTCTCTAAACCACGTTTTACTAAAGGGGGGACTGTCCATCCCCGAAATATTCAGGAGGGAAAGAAACACACAGACACAATTAATCGGCGATTCCCAAGAAAATATGGGAAAATATGGGAAGCGGTGGGGAAGACAAAAACTCAAAAAATATAGGAAAATATGGAGAATATTTTTATTTGTGTGTATTTATTTGTGTGTTTGTGGGCCTCTTCAAATATGGCAGAGGTTTCCGCACCCCCTGCCGCCTACGCGTACGAAGTTCTTCGCGCTCCGGTCGGCGCCCGGCGCCGTGCAGACTGCTGTCAGGAGGGACAGGGACACACAGACACAATGAATCGTCGCCTCCCAGGGAAAATGCAGGAAAATCTGGGAAGTGGGGGGGGAGACAGAAAGCCAGAAAATATGAGAAAAAATAAGGGGAATGTTTTTATTAGTGTGTATTTATTTGTGTGTCCTGGGGCCCCTTCAGTCAGGATGGAAAGGAACACACAGACACAATTCATCGTCGACTCCCAGGAACATACAGGAAAATATGGGAAGTGGGGGGGAAGACAGAAGCCCAGAAAATAGGAGAAAAAACATATGGGGACTCCTGTTATTTGTGCGTATTTATTTGTGTGTCCCAGGGCCCCTTTCTGCTGGGCCGGCTGCCGGCGCGCCGCGTCGGCGACTGGCTCGGCGACGGAAGCGTCTGCGCTCGGAGTCGCTCGCGCGGCGCGGGGAGCTCGCTCGCGCGCAGGGGAGAGAACGCGCGCGTCGCACGGGGAGACCCCCTCTCGGAGCGCAAAAACGTACCGCGTGGGGGTCGGCGCGCGTCGCACAGCCCATTCCGCGCGCGTGCGGCGAGCGCTGGAGCGCGCGCGGGATCTCAGGAGGGGAAAAAGCACACAGGCACAATGAATCGGCGATTCCTAGAAAATATGGGAAAGTCTGGGAAGTGGGGGGGAAGGCAAAACCCCCGAAAATGTAGGGAAATATGGGGGATATTTTTGTTTGCGTGTATTTATTTGTGTGTCCCAGTTCCCCTTCAGGGATGACTCCCCGCGCGGCGGCCGGCGCGCGTGGCGCCACGCGGGAGGGCGCCTCGCTGCGCGGCTGGCGCGGCGTGCGGGTGCGCGCAGGCCTTCCCCCGCGGTGGCGTCTCGCAGCGGCGTCGCAAATGCAAGCCAGGGCTCGTTTCGATTTCTCCGATTCGATTTGATTTCGGTTGCTTCCGATTCCGATTCGATTCGACTCCAGATTCCGATGTGGGCTCCGATTTTTCAATGCAGGCTTTTCAGCTTGCCGATTTCCGTCGATTCGACTTTTCCCGGCTCGGCTGCCGATTTCCGCCTGTCCGACTCATTTCGATCGCCGATCCGACTTATCGATTGGATTCTGGGCTCTCCTGCAAGCTGTGGCTCCGCCGCCTGCGTGAGAAGACGTCCGCTGCAGCCGCGCTGCTCGCGCTGGGGGCGGCGCGCGCGGCGCCGAGCAGCTTCGCTGCTTGCCTGGGCAGCGCTCGCGCGCGCAGGGGGAGGCTCGCGCTCTGCACGCGCGTGGCCCAAATCCTGGAGCGCGACGCACTGCGCTGGGCTCGGCGCGCGGGCGGCGCCAGTCGAGTGCCTCGCGCGGGGGTGCGCTGGGGGCATGGAAAAGGCGCCAGACGCAGTCGCCCCGCAAACGCCACACGGGGGTGCGTGGGAGGGCGGAGGGGCCGCATGGGAAGACGTCAGCTGAGAATGCCTCGCGCGAGCGTCTCGCAAAAAAACGCCCCCGGCACGCGCCAGAGTGCGCCGCGTGCGAGCGGCCACGCGTTAGAGCGCCCTCGGAGCGCGCTCGAGTGCGCCGCGTGCGAACGGGCACGCACGAGAGCGCCTTAGGAGCGCGCTAGTGTGCGCCGCGTGCGAGCGGGCACGCATTAGAGCGGGGTGGACCCCCCTTCGTGGCGCGAGCGGGACAGAGAGGGAGTCCTGTATTTCTGTGATACGCACAAGAAGAAAAAGGCGTCACCCGCTTTCCGCACCGATTGGAGGCGGGCGAGCCGACGCAGTGCATCTGGCACTCCGCTGAACGCTACGACCCTCGGTCGTTCGCTGCCAGACGTTGTCAGGGCCGGCGTTCGCCCCGGACTAATCGGAGGGACGGGGGCAAGTTGAAGGGCGCGCACGCCTTTAAAAAAGGTTGACCTGTTCACCGACAAGCGCGATGAAGTTGTCTTTCAGTGAGTCCACTAGTCCCCTCTCGTCCGCCCAGGTGCCCTCTTGGACGCTTCTCTTTTGGAAGCCCCCGAAGGTGGTGCTACTGGACAGGCAGGGCGCGCTGAGCATCGAGGATTACCCCCTTGGGTGCCAGGACTCGAAGAAGACAAAACCCTGAGATCCTGGCGCTGCACTTTCTCATCGGTTGTTCCGCCCAGTTTCGGGCACCGGGGCCCTGACATAAGGATCCTGCTCGAAGCACGCTGCGCAAAACTGGCGTCTGGGGCTCAGGTGATGGTTCTGTTGGCGATGTGGCCATGTTGTTGCAACGCCAAGCCTGAGGGACCGGCGTAACCAGACAATTTCGGCGCTGCGCGCGGATTCCTTTGATCGGCGCTGTGCCCCCCTGGCAGCCCCTGCAGCGCCAGAGCCAGGCGAGCCCCGCGCGCCAGGGAAGGAGGTCCAGCGCTGATGCAACATATCCGCGCGGACCTCCGAGAACCGATGGTGTTTTGTTGTTTTGCTCCTCCTCCTCCACAGGAGGGCCGTGGCCGCCCAGTCGTGAATGTGCTGCTGAAGCCGGGGCACTACGACCTCCTCTACACCGCGGGCTCCCCTCAGATCCGGGCGGCGCCTTTTTCTCACTCCGGGTGTCGTCTCGCGGTTTCGGGCCCCAGGACCCTCACAGGTGGAGCTGGCTCGAAACATGTCGCCGAAAAGAAGGGTCCGGGGTCTTGGTTGTGATTCTTGCGATGTTGTTTTTCTGGTGTGCAACACCGCTCCCTGAGATCCGACGACACGAGGGAGCTGCAACGTCGTAAAGAAAAACACGAAAAGAGCCCTGGACCATGGATGATTGCCGCACTTTCCGAGCTATGTATTTATCTGCGAGGGTCCTGGCGCCCAAAACAAATCTGTTCGAAATCGCTTGGCTCGAAAAAATGCGCCGCAACTTCGATGACCTCGGCTGGGCCGAAGGGTATTGGGGGTTTCCAAGTGGATGTTGAGATACATTAGATCTGGCCTAATTTAGCTTATGAGTGGATTGCAAGTGCCCTGTGCGGTTTACGGGGGGCAGAGATTTGGGGCATCCACTCAGAAGCTGGGTTAGGCCAGATCTGACCCATCTTCTCTGACCTACCAGAGTGCTAAACAAACACCCCATATCTATAGGACTTCCTCTTACATGGACAGGAATTTGGACGTCGGCGTCCTGGTGTTATGTTTTAGCCCTCCTTGAAAGTCAGGGATAAGGTGGGTTCCGAGTGGATGATAAGGTGAGCTATATCTGAACTAACCCAGCTTGCGGAGCCCACTTACCAGAGATGACTGACCTTTTTTTCCAGTCACCTAGGGCAGCTGCACCTGACTTAGAAGCTGGGTTAGGCCAGATCTTACCCACCTTCCCTGAACTCCCAGAGTGCGACTCAAACGTAACACCCCAGACCTGTAGACCTGTGTGGACGGCCTCAACTGCGGACAGGACTTGGGACGTCGACGTCCCGTTGCTGTCTTTGTAGCCCTCGTGAAAGGGCTCACGTCCGCTTCTCACCTCCATCCCCTCCGCACCCCCGCGGGCATCCAGGCAGGATCTCGGGGCTCCCAGGGTCCTGGCCGCTGGGGGCCGCCGCCGCCGCGGCGCCGGCGGCGCGCGCGGCGCCGGGCGCGGCGGCCACAGCCGCGCTCGCGGCGGCGCGCCCGGCCTCGCTGCTGGAGGAGCTGGGCAGCGCCTGGAGCAAGGGCGTGAGGCTCGGGGGAACAATGAGTCGAGCAGTCGGCGGCGGCGGCGGCGGCGGCGGCGGCGACGCCGTGTCTCGGGGAGGGGCCTGCCGGTTGCGCGGCCGCCTGGGGCCGAGGCGTCGTGTCCCCGAGGCCAGGCAGCGAAAGACCCCGAAGGCCGAGAGGATGTCCTCGCGATCGGCACCGAGCCAGGGTGGTGCCAGTCCAGGGCTCGCTTCGATTCCTCCGATTCGATTCGATTCGACCTCGAAGATTTCCGATTCCGATTCGATTCGACTTCGATTTCGATTTCACTGAGGAGGCCTACAAGCCTACCGATTCCGATTCCGATTCTGATTCCGATTCGATTCGACTCCTCCCGCCACAGGAACGTGGATATCTTCCAGGCTGGTAAAGTCGGCCCCCGAGTTAGAGAGGCAGGGCCCCTCCACCCCCCTGGACCTCCCTCGGAGGGGGGGCAGCGCTCCTGGCGGCAAGAGATGCGTTGCCTTTGTCCACTCGACCCTGTGACTCCCAGCGGGCGTTCCAGCTCTCGCTGCACGCTATGGGATCGCGTAGTGGCAAGAGAAACACGGCTCCGGCGACCATGTGCCGCTCAAACATGTGTCGTTCTTGATTCCACATGTGTTAGTTAAACAATATGTTAGTCAGCGTGGACCTCAAACAGCGAGTTGTTGCAATCCTCGTGGTGCTATCTAGGAGGTTGTGAAGTCTATGTGGTGCAAGCTGCGTGGTGCAATCTATGAGGCCCAGTAGCAGCGGCGACGGACGGCGGGACTGGGCGTCGACGGGCGGCCACAAGCGCGGCGGCCGGGCAAGCAAGCCCAGCTTCTGGGAACAGAAGCAAGGAGCCCGCAGTGCAAGCACTGCTTGGAAAAGACACTTTGATTCATACTAAGGGGTCTGGGATCCCAGAGCTCCGGAGTCGTGGTTTTGTTGATGGCATGGGCTCCCAGAGGTCTGAACTCACTCCCCGGGGCCAGTTGCTCATCCCAAGTCGTTATCTGACGGTCCCGAGTCCCGAGGCCCGGTGAGGTTCCACGGAGGCCGGAAACTAGCAAGACAAACGTCCGTCGTAATTTTAAACGAGGCAGGGGGGGGTCCAAAGTCCGCTCAACATGGGTCCCCAGACCCCTGCTGGGTTCCGAACGCACGAGTTTTTCGAGCTGCGCCCAGCCGTAGCGACGACGAGGGTTCCCCAAGAGCTAGACAGCCCCCCAACTCGATCCTCGGAGCTCGAGCCTCGATCGCCGTGACTTCTTCGTGGCCCGCGGGGATCTTCTATAGGCCTCCTAGATGGGGTCGGAGTAGATGGGGTCGGAGGATCGTGCCACATTGACGATGCATCGCCATGCGGCTCGATGAGGAGCCCCATTTGCTTCACGTCGACGTCGCCGATGCATCGCCGACGTCGACGCATCGGCAGTGCATCGCCGACACATCGCCCCATGCATCGCCGCTGTATCGGCGATGCGGCGCGATCCTATGGGACCCTTTTGTGGGCCCCGGAAACAGCAGGGTGTTTTTTTCACCGTTTCCGAAAACGCGTCTTGAAAATAAAAAGGGAAAAAAAAGGCGACCGGAAAGTGCAAAAAAAAGGCTCCAGGATTGGAGCCGGAGCCGGAAGCAGCCAACAAAACGGCGACGGAACCGGCAACCAAAACGGCGTCGGAACCAGCAACAAAAACGGCAAAACGGAAGTGGTATGAAAAAACCTGCTACCCCGACCCCTTCTAGGAGGCCTCTAGATCTGGGGTCTCAGAGCCCAGACCCCCGACGTCATGATTTTTTCATTACGTCGACCCCTGGAGGTCTCGCCCCATTCCCCTGGACCGGTTTTTCACCCCGAGTGGTTTCTGACGGCCTCGAGGGCCCCGTACCGGCCCCCAGAGGCCGAAGTAAGCAACAAAACCTCCTGGGGACCGGGGATCTGGTATCTCCGCGCTGCGCGCCGCCCGCCCGAGGCGCCTGCTGCCCGGCGCCTGCGAGCCGCCCCCGCGCGAGCCAGAGCGGCCGGTGCGCAGCGCGCTGCGCGGCAACCGCGCTCCCGCGGCGCGGCTGGGCGCGGCCACGGCCGACGGCGCGGCGGCACCGCCGCGGGCGCCGCGCTGCGCGCAGGTTGGGCGACGACGCCGGCGACGATGACGACGACGACGACGTCGGCGACGACGACGGCGGCGACGACGACGATGGCGACGCCGGCGTCGACGTCGGCGGCGGCGACGACGACGACGGCGGCGACGACGACGATGGCGACGACGACAATGACGACGACGACGGCGACGGCCACGACGACGGCGACGACGACGACGACGGCGACGACGACGACGACGATTGCGGCGAATGCGACGACGACGCCCGCGACGACGACGACGATTGCGGCGACGTTGACGATGACGACGATTGCGATGACGACGTCGGCGGCGGCGACGGCGACGACGGCGGCGACGACGACGGCGGCGACGACACGACGGCGACGATGACGATAGCGACGACGACGACGACGACTCCGGCGACGACAACGGCGACGACGACGACGACGCGACGACGACGATTGCGGCGAATGCGACGACGACGACGACGACGCTGCGACGACGAGGCGACGACGACGACGGCGACGACGACGACGACGATGCGACGGACGACGACGACGACGGCGGACGACGACGACGACGACGACGACGGCGACGACGACGACGACGACGACGACGACGACGACGACGACGACGACGACGACGACGACGGCGACGACGACGACGACGACGACGAACGACGGACGACGACGACGGACGACGGACGACGACGGCGACGACGACGACGACGACGGCGACGACGACGACGACGATTGCGGCGAATGCGACGACGAAGTCGGCGACGACGACGATTGCGGCCACGTTGACGATGACGACGATTGCGACGACGACGTCGGCGGCGGCGACTACGACGACGGCGGCGACGACGACGACGGCGGCGACGACGACGACGACGGCGACGACGACGATAGCGACGACGACGACGACGGCGACGCCGGCGACGACGACCGCGACGACGACGACGACGACGACGACGGCGACGACGACGATTGCGACGATTGCGACGATTGCGACGACGACGTCGGCGACGACGACGACTACGACGGCGGCGACGACGACGATTGCGACGATTGCGGCGACGACGTCGGTGACGTCGACGACGACGACGACGGCGGCGGCGACGACGACGACGACGACCACGACGACGGTGACGATTATGACGACGACGACGGCGACGCCGGTTGACGACGACGACAACAACGACGACGACGGCGACGACAACGAGGACGTTTGTGTCGACGACGTCGGCGATTGCGACGACGGTGGCGGCGACGACGACGACGACGACGACGACGACGGCGATTGCGATGATTGCGACGAC